CTAGCAATGCTTAATAAACCCTTTCTTTAAAAAAAGAAAGAAAGAAAAGCTGGAATTAGTTCTCCTGCTTAGAAAAACATAAATAAATATATTCATTTACGTTTCCAAATTTCCAATAAAACAAGTTAGAGTCCATACACGTTAGTCTCTCTTTTTTTCTTTTTTTTCTCCCCACCTCTTCTTCTTCTCAAGGCCTTAAAACTTGAGGAGCCAGTGAGCTGTTGGGTAGTTCCTGGGGGGCTAACGCTATTTTCATTCACTTCTAGTAATACCTTCCCAGTTGACTCAAAACATTTGTGAAATTAAGTACTTTCTCTAGCGATGTGAAAGTTTTTATGCATATATAAGAGAATTGGCCTCAAGGAGGAACAGGGGAGGGGAAAAAAAAAAAACCCTCCAGGCTGGGAAACCCAGGGCACTGAGGCCCAGATGTTTATGTCCCTCTTTGGTCTTTCCCATCTCCTTCCCACTCTCCAGGCCAGAACCCAGGACTGCAGGGAGGAAGGAGAATGGCGGATGGAGCTGGGGTGGGAGCTGTGTTGGCCAGACAGGCCCCTCTGGCTAGGGAGAGTGGAGACCACTTTTACTTGCCTGAGAGTTGCAGAAGTAGATGGCAGGGAATCCCCTGCCAGTCTCCTCTAGCTATGAACAGGTGCATTAACCAATGGAAAGGGGATATGCGTGGGAATTGTGATGCTAATGACAGGAAGCAGAACGCCTCTTTTCCACTAACGCCTTCTGATTGGGATTTCTTATACGCAGTCTGAGTTGGCCTGGAACACGGCGGCGGCAGACACCATTCAGCTTCTGGCCGCCCCGGGATGGGGAGAACCGGGCACAGGAGGATGCACAGCACGGTCCTAGCCACGAGCTGCTCCGCGCTCTGGAAGGGCTGGGTGCCAAGGCGCGCGAGACGCCGCCCTTAATACCTGACTGCCCAGTGGTAGTCGGGTGAGACCAGGGTATTCGCATCTGCAGAGCCCTCTCTGGGGGTACAGACTTTGATCCCCCTGTCAGCTCCCGAGAGGCGGTTCCCGCAATCGGCTAGCTCAGGAATTGGGTTTAACACTTGTCACGGATCAGAACTGGGCGTCCCGGGACTCTCGAGTCGTTTGAGGGCTTGCTCGGGACTACGTTTCCCAGACGGCGCCGCGGTGATTGATACCTTGATCGGCCTATGGATGGGGAAGATTTCTCGTCGCAGAACCTGAGAAGCCAATGGCAAGAGGACAGGGGCGGTGTTTTCCGGCGGCTGGCTGCCGAGCTCGGAGTCCCACCTGTGTGCCCACAGTCCTGTCACGAAACCCGGTGGGGTTCTGGGAGGGACCGCCTCGGCGTGGCGGGCCGGGTGCGGCTCGGCGGTGGAGGACTCTCCTTCCTGCTCCATCCCTGGCTGGGCCCTGGGGCGGTGAGTGATCCTGAGACGGAGGTAGCGGCCGCAGCCCCGGCGCTGCTGAGGGGCGTGGAAGGGGTTCGCCTGCCGCCCTGATGCTGTCTCTGCCCGGTCCCTCCGACGCTCGCCTTTCGGAGCCCGCGGGTCTGCTGAGGAGTGGGGAGAGGTAGCTGTGGTTTTCGATGCCTTCGCTGGCATAGCTCACCCTCGTATCCATTTTCTAGCTCCACGGTGGTGGTCCCTGGGTCTCAGCCTAGCGTTGTGACCTTCTGACCGCCGCACCCCATTAGGGCCTGCGGCACGGTGAGGGGGGTGAATGGGTGGCGGCCCTAGCCTGGCGGTCATGTTCCTATTAATAAACCCAGCGACAAGCCGGTGCTTCTCACAATGGCATTTAGTCACACCACCTAGCGCTCTTGGGCCTTTGAGGTCACCTGTACAGAGGGAGGTGGGAGACATGGTTTCTGTAACCATGGCTGGGCACCCTGTACCCGCATTCCCTCTGTCCCCCTTGCAGGTGGACCCTGCTGTTGGGTTTTGTAATAGATATAGAAATGAAATTTATGCTCAAAACTCAGTACAATTTTCACTTCCTAATGACCTTATTTTTGTTTGTGAAGATCTTAAGCCAGAGAGATGAAATGTATTCCTACCGTTTGTAGATCCTTAAAAACCCAATACGCTGTAAGTGGACCAGTAGCAATACGTATCTGTAAATGGATAAATGTTTCCACGAAGTGTTTGTGTGTGTGTGTATTGTAGAAGTTCCTGGTGCTTTGATTGGTGAGACAAAGACGTGCAAGAGTAAAACCTCCTCACTCCAACCTGGTCCCATCCTCCACTGAAACATAGAATTCTGCGTAGCAGAATCAGTGGCTGACTTGTGTTTGTTTCTGTTGGAAACTCTGGAGGGGGTTGGGAGGACGATGATGATGACTTACATTTCTTTGTGACTCCTAATGCCTTACAGCATATTACTGAATAAATGACTCATCCATCCAGTAATCTGATCATCTTCCCCAAAATAATTTTTTCCTGTTACTGCTGTCAATTTTATTCATGTGTTAATGGTAGTTTTCATCCCCCAAGGCTTTTGTTTTGTGCTTATCCCCACTGAGTTTCACTTAGTTTTACAGTTTATCCATCCTTTTTTTTTTAAAAAAATCCATGTCTTTTAAGTCTCATTTCTGACTCCATCAAACCTTGAAATACAATGGTACCCACAAAAGTTCTCCTTAGGGTTCTGCTTGGTCTGTCACTTGAAGTTGACACTAAACCTACAAGCCAGGAAAAGTCAGTTGTCCTCATAACTAACATGAGTATAATTAAGTCCACAATTCCTAGCTTGCTGAGGAAAATTTAGCTGGAGAGAATCCAAAGCTTTCCAGAAACCAGTTATACCTGCACACACTGTCTTTTATTTATCTTGTCCATCACGGACAATTTGTTTCTCAAAAAGTTACTGTGTTCAAAGGTAGGGTTTTGCTGGTGTTTGGGAGGCACAGGCCTCTCTTAGTAATGAGAAAGTTGGCCACGGCAAGGACTATGGAAAAACAGAATAAGGAAAGCAAACCTTTTGTGGTTGACAGAATTGACCTCACAGCTATCCTAGTCAGGGGGGGTTTTGTTTGGGCGTCCTGGTCGCCTTTGTGGCTGTCTGTTGGTTTTCAGACCATGGTGAGAATATCCAGAGAGCTATTGATGCAAACTGCGGTCTCTTGCTTTAGGACCTGATGACCCTCAGTGATGTGGCTGGGGACTTCGGGGAAGAGTGGGCTACCTGGACACTGCTTAGAGAATCCTCTTCAGGGATACCACCCAGCACAGATAGAAGAATGGGCTCTCCAAGGGTAAGGATGCTACTCTCCTTTAGATTTAGGGCAGGTTTTTTGAGAGGGTCCGGGTCTGAGTGGTCTCAGGGGATGTTGACCTGGAGCCCCAAATCTCTGAGAGAATAACTTGCCTCCCTGGCAGAAAAAGAAGGACTTCCATTTTTATGGCACTTTGTGGTTTGCAGATGTCTTTTATTGCAGATGATATTTACTGTCTTGTTCATATCTCATCATAACCCTTTGATGTGTGTATTATCTTCCCGCTTTTCCTGCTCATGACACTGAGAATCAAAGTTATGTGCCAGAGGTGAAAGTCCAACTCAGGTCTTTGTGGAAAATGGAGAGTATATATACAGAGGGTGCCAAAAAAATGTATACACATTCTAAGAAAGGAAAAAACCTGTATTAAAATTGTAATACTCAGGGCCGGCTGAGTGGCTCAGTTGGTTAAGAGCTCACTCAAGAGTTTGAGCTCTGAGCAACAGTGGTTCGAGTCAGCCCGAGCTGAGCAGCCGTGA